GTTGTTGTTTTTTGGTTGTTTGTTTCATGCCTTTCTGTGCCCCCATAAAAAAACGATGGCCCCACCTTGGCCCCCCCTAATAAATTTGGTTTAGGACCGCCACTGATAATGACATGGCACCATTCATACTGTTTGTAGTTTCCCCGAGCTTGTTTATGTTGCCTAAAATGTGTTTTAATACCATTAACAGGATTATTATACATTCTGCAAATATATTCACCCTCTTTATTGAAACTATTTTATCTACAATAATAAATCATATATGTATCTGTGCTTTTTAAACTTTACGTAATGACGTTCATATTCACACGTACGTCACATCGCCTCCGTTCCAAAGCTCGGATGTTCCAGGCGGTGCAGCCTTTTGATGTTCCTTATCAATATTTGTCATTTAACACTGATGTTGTAAAGGTTTTTATATCACAGGAGGCTGCTTCTCTCTCTTTCCCCTGCTGTCGCTCCTTGCCTGTGGATGGTGGGCTGAGTTCCAGCAGCTGTTAGAGCCACACCCTCTTGTTGTTTTTATTGTCCCGGTGTTCCCTTGGTTGATCTCCGGCTCCAACCGTCAACCTTCCCCGTTGCCTGGAGCCGGCCGGCCGGCCGCGTGCATGCAGCAGAATGGCTCGAGCGGCTCTAACGGTTCAGACGGCGGCAGGGAGCGGCAGGCTCTGTCCTTCAGTCCGCTACCCGCTGCTGCTACTACGCGGGTGAGGCGGTTCATTCAGGATAGACAGCGGACACTGCCGCTGCCCAAAGTGATGGTGGTTTTCTCCGCTGCTGGGGACGCGGATAAACCGAGCGATGCCATGTCAAGCTCGGACCCTACGGAGGAGGGCGACGGCGTCCGAAAGCTGACGGCCTCCCCCTCTCCGAAGCACCGCGGAGCGCCGAGCAAGCCACTGCGCTCCTCGCTGAACACCCAGGAGCAGCAGGAGGTGGGTAGGCCTCTCCATGGAACACTCTGCTGATATTAACCCGCACCAACCCGAACCCCAATAATTAAAAAAGAAGAAAATAAGCGTCATGGGAGTAATAGGTTGTTGTAACATTCATTCATATTTTTAACAGAAAATACATTTTCTGTTTGAGTGTTTGTGGGTATTTGCTCGGCGGTTGGTGGTTGGTAAAGCTGCTGAAGCTCTCTTCTGATTGGCTAGAAACTCTGTCACGTGATTTTTAGATTAAGTTTCTTTTATTTTTAACCCAATTAACCCTGCTCTCTGAGGAGTCCTCAACTCCTGTGGTAAAACAACAACAGATGGTTTATTATTCCCGCAAAATCGATGGATGGACTGATCCTATTAGTCAAATAGCTGAATTACTAACACCATGAAAGGAATTGTTTAATGGATAGATGGTTAATCCCAGTAGATGGATAAGAATGGTTAAGAAACCACATGAAATGCAAGAATGGATAATTAATCCAGCCAGACTCGCACGTGGATTATAAAATCTAACAAAGTGCATGGCTGGTTTATTACCATAATTAATAAATTAGTTATTATTACCATGAGGTAGATAATTAATTGTGATGAAATAGACAGAGTTTTAATTTCATACCTAAGAATGTATGGATAGATTATTATCTGATAAAATGGATGGATTAATTAATAGATCTAGGATTTTTTGCCGTATTGTTTGATAGATGAATTTTATAGTTAATCGGATTAATAGATTATTTGAATAATCGTCAACTAATTCAGTAATCGATTAATTGTTAATTGGAGTATAGAGACTATAAAACATGCCTTTATCTGACAGAGCGACTCACTTAGAGCAATAATTATATCAGAGTAAAAAAATATATAAACATTTTGCATTAAAAAAAAACACAATTTCCTCTATCAATATGCTCTATCTAGAATTCCTCAAGTTGAAGCGCTTTAGTTTCACCTGGCTTCATTTTTAAAAAAAGTCTTCTTTAAGGAACCTTTGGCAATCCAATTATTTATCGATTATTCTATAAAATAACCCACAGATTAATCAATTCGCAAAATAATCGTAAATTTCAACCCTAGATGGATTATTAATCCCATGAAGTGAAAGATAGCAATCTATCCCACAGTCTGTCTGTAGGACAGATTGTCATGCAAACTGATGAACGGGTCATATGATCTATGAGGTTACTGATTAATTCTTTTATTGCATGAGCTGGTAAAAAATTATATCTACAAATCTTGTACAAATCTGTACGCCAAGTGTGATATAGTTTTTTTGTGCAACAATAGCTAAGAAATAAAATGATGAATATTAAAAAAGCATTTAAAAACAATGGTCATAAATATGCAAAATGGTCAAAGTTGGATGATTTGATGGTTTACTACCAACTATGTTTTAAATGATCAGATGGGATTACATCAAATTCTTCTCTGTTATCTATTGATCTAAGAGGGTCTTATTCCCCGTTCTGTTCCTTTAGGATTTCATGTCAGAAATTGGATTTTGATTTTCCAGATTCAAAACTTTTCAGGGTTTGTTTAAGGATTTTGATTGTCTTTTAATTGTGAGTTTATTGATGCTGCTGGTGTTTCCTTTCTAAAATTCACCAGAACCTGTTTGTTCTCGACCACAGAACCACAACATAAAGTTGTTCACCAGTTCCCTGAACTCTAACCACTGCAGGAATCTTCCTGCAGCTAATATGACTAAGAGCTGTGTTGAAACTGTGACGTGTACAGTTACTAACAACCTTCTCTGCTGTTATTATTCTGGAGGTTTTTCTTCAACTCTTGCATCAACAATTCTTTTCCTCCTTCTAGCTCCACCTTTTTTTTCTTACAGTAAAAATTCATTTCAGTTGAATTTTTTTATATAGCACCAATTCACAACACCTCATTTATAGAGACAAATCAACCAGATCATGCAGTCAGATTGGTTCAAGGTTTTCTATCTAATAAAAACCAGCTGATTGCATCGAGTCGTTGACTTTTCAGCAATCTCTCACACCAAGCATGCATGTAGCGACAGCTGAGAGGAAAAAACTCCCTTTTAGCTTAATCAATTAATTACTTTATTTTAGACAATCCAGTAAAATTAAAACTTTATCCCATACATTAAAAAATGTATTTAATATTATAATATATCACTTATTAAATTTATAATTTGGTGATTATGTCTGAAAATGGGTATAAAGTAGGAAACCTATTTAATCAGACCCTGTTCTGCTCTTTTTAAGAAATTGATATTGATGATATTAACAAACAAAACAAGTTGCTATTTGATTTTTGTTTTAAAATATAAGATCTGCAAGAATTTTTTTGTTTTCTTTCTGTCTCACAATGGTTCGAGTGAAACTTGCGAGAAAAACAGCTCTTGTTGGAAGATTAGAGCCTGCATATACAGTGGGTACGGAAAGTATTCAGACCCTTAACATTTTTCCCTCTTTGTTTTATTGCAGCCATCTGCTAAAATCAATAAAGTCTATTTTTGTTCTCATTAAGTTCTGCAAATAAAAAAAATACAGAAAAACTGAGATATTAAATGGTCATAAGTATTCAGACCATTTGCTGTGACACTCCTTTATTGGAGTTCAGTTGTGTTTAATTAAACTGACTGGACTTCCTTTAGCAAAAAGAAGTATACTTGAAGTAAATTCTATTAAGAATACTTAAGTATAAGTTTAGAAAGTATACCCGAACAAGTACTTTTAGTGTACTTGAAGTATTGCAAAAGTAATACTTCTTCGAACTAAAAGCTCAAAAGGTGCTTCTACTCAATACTGAGCAAAGGGTTTGAATACTTATGATGATGTGATATTTCAGGTTTGTTTTTTTTATAAATTTGCAAAAATTTCTATTTTTTTTTCTGTCAATATGAAGTGCTGTGTTTACATTAATGAAAAATAAAATTAACTTCATTTATTTTTATTATAGCTGCAATGAAACAGTGAAACATTTAAAGGGATCTGAATACTTTCCGTACATATACAGATAAAGCAGGAATTTTAAATGTTCTTAGGCCAGGTCTTTTTGTGTGTTTTCTCTAAAACTAAGGGAAAAAAATGAATGAGTCAACCTAGAAAACAGGTTTCTAAAATATCAGAATATGAATATTTGATATGTATGGTAAGAATTAAAAGTGATATTGGTAGTCATAAAAAAAAACTGTTCTATTGCTCTATTTTTATGGTCCATTATGATAACGACAAGAGAGGTATAATATATTAAAAATAAAATGGTGGTTATTTTTAAACATAGTGGTATCGGTCTGATAAGTAATAGGGCTGATACTAACATGTTCACATCCATCTACTTAGTGTTTGGTCATTTGACACTAAAGCAGCACAGGATTGTGGGAGTTATATAAAGCAGAGAAGTAAATTAATTTCAGTGGTCATTTTCTTTTTTTTTTTGCAGAATGCACAGATTACAGAAAACATATATCAGTAAATGTTGGTTATTGGACATAGCAGCAATAATCATGATCTGAAGTGGCTATCTGCCTAGATTTTCATATCTGTTCATCCCCCATTAATACCAACATCGAATGAAACCTCCAGTTAGCAAACAGAAGATGCAAAACAATGATATTTGAAGGATACAAATCTAGAAAATTCATTCATATTTTAGTCTAGTGCCTGAAGTCAACTACTGACTAAGAGACATTTTTTAAACACACACTGTTTCTTTTAGATTCAAGTATTTGTCTCTAAACACAAAATGAAGAAAGGCAGAGTTAAATGAAGGTTATATCCATCTTCAGCTAAAATTTCTGTTATGTAGGAATGTGTCCCTAATGTCATTTTTAGTTAGAAAAGTAACAAGAAATAGCATCTTACTCTTACTTATTAGCTTTATCTCAAATGTTTCCAAGTTTCCAGAGGTCATCTCCCTGAACGTTGGGGGCACCTACTTCACCACACGCCTCTCCACGCTGCGGAGATACGAGGACACGATGCTGGCTGCCATGTTCAGCGGGCGGCACCACATCCCACGGGATGCAGAGGGACGCTACTTCATAGATCGGGATGGTGCATACTTTGGGTGAGCAGCTTTAAACTCTTGCAAAACAGAGATCCTAAACAGGAATTGTTAGCCATTTAGGCTGGAGAAACAAACGCTTTGTAAAAATATCCGTACGACTTAAACTTTTCAAGAGTTTCTTTTTAATGCTTTCACAGAGCACAAGACATTATCTTCACAACAGACGGTTTTATATTTAGTTTTTCTTTGTGAAGGGCAGCATCATGCTGAAGAAAATTTTTGTTTCTAAAAATGAAACAGAGGCTTTCCTGCAGCTGAGGGCAGATCATTATGTTCTGACAGGTATCAATGGGATTATTGTTAATCAGAGAGGCAAACAAGATTCCTCAGGCAGTGCAGATTTTCATCTCAATTTCTGTGCTACTGGCTCTTCTTATTTGCTGCATCTCTGAGGCTGTATTAACAGTGTTTACACAGTGACATGCTGAGTTTTAGTTGCACATCACTGCTGTATCCTTCTGTGTTCAATAACTACAAACAGCTCTTATTTATTAGCTGGATGAGAAGAAGGGTTGAGAGAGAAAGAAAGGGAAGACACGCAGTAAAAGGCCTTTTCGTTTGGTGCACTTTAATCCACTTGACATCCCTCGTTATGATGTGTTACCAGGTGGGGAAAACTGTTTGCTTTTTCGTTTGTTTTTTTAGGAAAACATTGTTTTTTGTGCTGAAATTAAAGACATTTTTCTAAATTGGGAAATGTAAGTAATAAATCGTTTGACTTGTACAATGATGGGAATATTCAGCTTTGATTTAAAATCTGTGCTGAAAATGTCTGATCTTAGCCTAAACAAGGTAGGGTTTGTTTTTCTGTTTGTAATTTTACTGTAAAGAAACAAATAATTGTCAAATAGAAGTTGTGATAAAAAAGTAAATTATTTTTAAAGGTATATTAGCTATTGTGGTTTTTTGTTTTATTTTCATTTAAATGTACTGACATTTAACTAATGTTGATATAATTTTGAGCAATTGAAACCAGAATTAGACTAATTTTACCTAAACACATAAAGAACTAAAAGAACTCTAATAAAAACTGTTGAACCTATGAGAAAATCCAAATTAACCAAGCTTCTCCTAATCAGCTCAACAGCTTTGGGTTTGAAAACCTTGAGTGGTGAGAATAAGCTTGGAGATATATACTTAGGTATAATTTGGAGAAGAAAAAAAAAAGGAAAATGTAAATCTTGAACTCAAACTGGCCTCATTTGGGAATCATTAAACCAGAAAATGATTATCAGCCCAGAACAGCCCCAGTCATGAACTCCTCCCCCTCATGAAATTAACGTAGGGTATTTATGTCAGCCCAGTTTCATTTGGCAGATAAGTAAAATAATGAGTAACCTCAGCTGATAACAGGCCTGTCCTTGGCTTCATTGCTTTAAATGGCCTTATAATGTGCTGGTTTCCAGAGCGTGGAAAACCTTCATTAGTGACTGGAATTTATTTCAGTGGAAAAGAAAAATCCTCTGGGTAAAAGGAAAAACTCTCAGTCTGGAAAAAAAAAGAACTGGGACAATATATGTCATTAGATATGAATGTTATAAGAAGCATAGATGTGTGATTTATGTAAGTCAGGCTGAGGTTAGTTTTGCTGTGCGACCTAAAAGTAAAGATAGAAAACAAGCAGCTCTAAAAGCAGTAAAATGATAAAGGTTTGCAGCAGGATCGTAGGGTATTTAGTCTCAAAGGACAAACATGACTTCTCGTTTGTTTTTTTTATAGTTTTCTGCAATGCAACCAGTCCCACCCTACTGCAACACTTCCTCCTCATTGTTCATCTGCACTTTCTAGTATTGACTGAATAAAAACTAGCATGTTGTTGGTTATCAGGGGTGAGCTGAATGTTTCTTTGCTAGGAATGCATGCAGCTGTACCATTTTAATCAGTTGTTTCTTTTGTTTGTGTTTTACTTTCACATCTTACTTTTGACCCCACATGCCTGTAATGGGGTAGTGCTACCACAAGGTGGAGGTAAAACAGTAGATAAAAAAAAAAAAGAAATCACAAATCCATAATAAGAGCTTTGACAAATGTCTGTTTCAAATGATTTGGCATATTTTGTATTAATTTTGGTAGTATTTGAACAAGTTTCTTTTTTTTTTTCTTTTCTCCATTTTTTTTGTTATATTATTTGAGCATTAGAGTTGGAATTACCGGTTTGCTTCCAAGTTTTAATAGAAGACTTAGGAGTAAAATTTGCAAATGCCTTGTTATATTGTGTTTATTGCAAATGATGGAAATTGAAGCAGTGGTAGCAGGTCTTTACATCCTCAGATATATAAATATTAGGGGTGTAAATCACACCCATTTTGGCGATTCAATTCAGTATCAATTTCCTGATCTAACGATTCGATTATTTTCGATACTCAAGAATACACCACTATACAATTCGATTAATTGTTTTTTGTTTTGCTTTTTTACCTTACAGGCTAGACAATGTTAGCCTGGGTGCCATTCCGAACTTAGTCCCGCCCACAACGTTTGAGGTCGGGAAGTTAGGTCTGGCATTGCTCAATAGTAGCGCGAGTATGCTCGCACAATATCTTGCGGGCCAATCAAATTGTCAGGGCGGGCTTTATACGATGATGGACAGATGATCAACAGTAACGTAATTACCACGTCACCAAAGCGCGCTTGGGTGACAACAACAATGGCTGCCGCTGGAGAGTTGAGGTGTGTAGATTCTGCTATTAGGTCTGTTCTAGAAGATATCGACAGCAAATTAATTTTAAAAGAGGAACAGATAAATGCGATCAAGGTTCATCTTATTCTAGGCGTGCAACTGCACCGCAGCACAGTAGTCAAACTTACGTCCAGGAGCAAATGGATAAGAATAGACTGGAGGAACAAAAAAAAAACAGGAATCAATACTCTTACGGACGTGTCGATGCATCAGATCATCGGCTGTTGTATCGATGCATCGAAACAAAACTATTATTATTTACACCCCTAATAAATATGCACCTCCCTAAAGGGGAAATGGAGGCTCCCACATTTATATATAAATTGGTCTCGTCAGATTTCTCATCAACCGACCTGTTTTTTGTTGATGATGATGAAGGTTAAAAATTAAGATGAATAACTAAAACCTTCTCCATTTCAGCTATTGATGATCCTCATCATAATGTGATTGCAGAATTTTTTTTAAAGGATTCTTTAAAAACATTATTGGGCCGGAACCAGAGGTTTCCTCCCCTAAACCAGAGAGTGGCAGTGGTGACTATTGACAGCTTCAGCATCAGACTCAAAACATCCAAAGGTATTATAATGACTACTAAGAATACAAAAACACATCTGTGCCTCGCTCAAAGCCTTTATCTTTTAGCAAGAAAGAAGAGTGCAGAGTGAATAGAGAAGGTGAGAGCAGAACAAACACCAGAGGCTGCAGACACACGCAGTCCTTATTTATAAACTAATCAAAGGAATTTAAGGAAACTGTTACCAAAGGTGCACCTCACACAAAGGAACAATCATTAAAAATTAGTAATGATCCAGATTGTGTGCGATTTTTAAACTATATGTGTAAGTCACAATTTGGGGCAAAATTTTCTGCTTCCTATGTTTTAATATTTATACTTAATATTTTAAAGGCAACTTAACAATTTTATAGAAAGCCTTCAACAATAACTAAATTTACTCAATGTTAATATTAGCATGTATTAATTTTTGTCCCATATTTCTTTTTAAATGTAAGGATTTATGTTCCTTTGTGTGTAATTTCACTGCAATGTTTTCATTCAAAGGGATATCCTGAACTTTCTCAGAGAGGGAGAGCTTCCCCACCGGGACCGGGTGAGAGCAGTGCACAGAGAGGCTCAGTATTACGCCATCGGCCCACTGCTAGAGAGCCTGGAGGACATCCAGCCTCTGACAGGGGAGAAGGTCCGACAAGCTTTCCTCGATCTGCTGCCCTATTACAAAGGTAGAGGCAAAAATAGCCTGAAACAGTTGGATATTTAAGCTGCAACCACAACCCCGGTATTGGCATTTTGTGCCAATACTGGCACAAAATGTTTCAGTACTTTTGGATCCATGTTTCAGTACTGAAACACCATGTTTCTAAAAAGTACTGAAACGCCATGTTTCAGTACTTTTGGATCCACCCTACAATGCAGTTAGACCTTTATTTTGGTGTAAATTTCAGTCACATTGGATGGAAATCACCCATGAACATCAGATTCTAATCCATGATATATTTAAGACACAGCTTTTATTTCAGAATAAAAGGTACTGAACTAAATGCATACAACACTTTTTTTTAGATTTTACTGTAAAAAAAATATGTTTTTAAACCATGCATTAGCTTCATTTCATGAGTATGTGTTTCTGTCTGTCTATCACAGAGAGCCAGTAAATTACACTAGAGCTTGTAAAGCTGTTAGGTGACATTATGAAAAAGGTGTAATGGTTCAAGCTATTGAGCTGAGAGGGTCAGTCTGTTTCAAGATGGTAGAAACACAGCAAATGATTTCTGCCATAAATAATTAAATCACATTTTGAGCTACATGCAGTAGAAACATGCTTGTAAGAGCAGCTAAAGTCGCTTTCCTTTATTTATAGAGGACATGTAAAATTTAAATGTGTTGAGCAAAGTGCTTTGCTATTAGAGATGTCTGTGTATAATTCAGTAACTGACAGCTGCTGACAGGAAACAGTAGTGGGAGATAAATGTTAAAGACCCAAAGGGAGTTTTTGGTTACCATCAACTCCAATTAGATTAAAATTACTTAAACCTCTAATCATAACTGTTGTCGGTATGATTGCAGATAATCTTGAGCGCATTGTGGAGATCGCCAAGCTGAGAGCCATGCAGAAGAAGGCGCGATTTGCAAAGTTAAAGGTCTGCGTCTACAAAGAGGAGATGCCCATCACGCCGTACGAGCGGCCTCTTTTCAACTCTCTGCGCTTTGAGCGCTCGGACAGCGAGGCTAAGCTCTTCGAACATCACTGCGAGGTGGACGTCACCTTTGGCCCCTGGGAGGCGGTGGCTGACGTTTACGACCTGCTGCACTGCATCGTCAGCGACCTGGCGGAGCGCGGCATCACGGCCGAGCAACAGTGCATCGGAGTGTGCGACAAGCACCTCATCAACCATTACTACTGCAAGAGGCCCATCTACGAGTTTAAGATCACATGGTGGTGAAGCTGTCACAGCTGCTGGACCAAACAGAAACAGATGAGGGATTTTTACTAGAATTTGAATAGTACTGAATTTTGTATTGAAATATTGAAGCTAACAATTTTTTGTGCCGACATCTTAGAATGTGACTCTTTAAATCCCGCTGTGAGTATTTTTCTGTTATATATTCCTCAAAGCAAAAACTCTAATGTTGACATATAGGAATTTTTAAAAGTTTTACCTCGTATTGTCACTGCTGGGCTGCTCCTGCTTTTACCATTATATCCTTCCAAATATAGGGAGCTCATACTAACCCTACTGTTACCCACACCTTTATGGGGCTACACATCCCATCCTTCTTCAGTTCTACATTTAGTCTGCTGGTTGCTCCTGATTGATTTACCGTGTAGTTGCAGATTTCTTAAGCCTTTCAAACTTGGCAGTTTGTAAAAGTTTTGGATCATCAAGCAAGTTTAAATTTTAGACAGCCATAACCAGGATTATTGCTAAATTAAGGTTTAAGTTGATTGATAGGAGAAAAAGATAGGAAATCTAACATTTAACTATGTGAAAACGGAAAACTAATACCTGTAATGAGCTACATCTGATGGTATTTAAACTTAAACTTATGAATTATGAATTTATAGTGATTTAGTAACTGAAATTTATTTTTGGTACATCTTTAGCTTGGTTGCTTTAGAACCTTGATTTTCTCTTATTTTTATATCCATTCAGAGCTCGACTTGCTGGTGAGCAGTGGGTTGTTGTCCTGCTGCATAAGCAAACTTCTATTGTGCTTTAAGTCACAAATTGATGGTCAGGTATTCACCTTTGAGATTCGGTAGTAGAGAGCAGAGCTTATTTTATTTAGAACAAGTTGTATTACATGCTTTATTTAAAAAGGGATTCAGCTGAACACTGAAAACAATGGTTGAATTTACTCTGTTAGTGGCTTTGTCTAGGAAAGAGACACAGCTAAACACAGAACACAGAGCCGGTGGTGCTCTCTCTGAATGTTGGCAGTAGTTTAATCCAGTAAACTGGCACTGTTTAACATTCATGCACCGAGAGTCTATAGTAAAGAAAAAATAAGTGTACACACCTTTAGTAATAGTAACACCCAAGTCAAAGGTGTTGTCCAGGAATGGGAGGCACAGCTAAGTGTAGATATTTTTTAAAAGTCTTTGTGCTAGGAGTATTTTCTTTAGGAGAGAGAAGCTAATACAGATAACATAGCTAATGGAAGCTGTGGCTGTATTACTACTTTCTCTGAAAAAAGTAACACAGCTAAAAACACAGTAGCAATCAGCCAGGAATCTTTTCAGGAAAGGAAAAGAGGAAGAGATCAAATAGTCAACAGGAGCTCTGTGAGCAGAGCAACTGCATTTTTTTAAGACACCCAAGAGTGACCCATGAGTGTTTTTTGTTTTTTTTTAAGAAGAAGCAAAGTTACACATAGTTAACGGTAGCTTAAACTAATTTAAATGGTTCACCTCGGAAGGAGACTGCGGTAAACATAGCAAAACTGAGCCAGTAGTTCTTCAATAGAAAGACAACAGAGGGAGAAAAAAATGTGTTAGCTCACTTTTATTTTGCACACCATTTGGTTTACCGCGTAGGAGGACCAGCAGGAAACTGAAAGGTTGTATTTTTTTCAGATTTATAACCCAGTTATTACACTGAATATATTTTCTTCAATACCAGCTATGCAAATATAGCATAATTACACCTGAAACATGCCTGTTTTACTAGAGGTATCGTTTTTTTTTAGTGCAACATGGTAGAGACCGTGTGCATCTCATCTAGTTATTCGCCCCAATTTTACTGAACCCACATCAACAGCAGTGACTTCAATGTGAGGCGGTTTTCCTCTCATTTTTAGATTTGTTAAGTAGCATTAGATTTCCTAGTTTGCATTTTGCCAGAACACATAATCCTTTCATGTAGAGAACATGTATGCTGCTGATTGTGTTATTGTACGTGGATGAAATGACCCAACCTCCATTTCAGACTTTTCCTTTGACATTTGTCCCGTAATATACCAGATGGGTCGGTACCTCGTCAGCTCTATCCTCATTCCATCACAACTCCACCACCGACATGTGACAATGAAACCCACTTGTAGTTGGTACATGGCATTGTATATTGTCAGTACGGTGAAGTAAATTGTGTATATTTTCGTATAGGTTTTGTGAGGTTTAACTGTGATGCTGAATATTTTAATTATGCACTCGTTAAAAGTGTGTATGGAAGGGTTTAGTGGAGTTTAGCGTGTATTTGTATTGTCGTACGCTGAAATAAAGGGGATTCTCTGTTTTAAGGGATTGCACTGCAGTAGATTTTGTGCACAGTGGTAAATTTGTGCACTCAGTTTAGATGATTAAGAATTTAGTTAGAAAATAGCGCCACCTTCAGGGAAAATTTTTGCTCAAACGTAGCTTTGTTAACCACCAAAATCGAGTCCTACTGTACTTGACTACTAATATTGAGCACCATGTGATCGTTACAAAATGATCTAATTTATGTTGAGTAAAACCATAAATATTTGGGGGTTACCGGTAATTAAAAATAAAAGAAAAACAACCGTTTTCTATTTATTTCATTTTTTTTTTTTATTTGCTGGTGGAGCACTACATTCTTCTCTTGAAAAGGACTAATCTTAATGACTTCCAGTGTTTTTAATGTTTTTTTTTATATATCAATGTTTATCTGTTTGTGTTAGCTTCTAGGAAGCTCCAGATCTCCAATTGTCTTTTATTTGTCTGTATTTAAGAAAAAGCATAATTTTTATGTTGTGGTAAAATAAATTTGTTCAAATGCAAAGAATATTTCTCCATTTTTTTTTTCAGTGTATTCGGTGTTCACAGTACAATGTATTTTTGTGATTCCTTCAATGGAAATGTATAAATATAAGGCTTATTTTCTCGAATCCGGACAATAATATGTTTATAGCTTATTTTTGTCCCAGTTTTCCTTTAAAACCCCCTTTAGATTGATCTTTGTGACCCTGGTTCTCCTGGTGAACCATCTCTTAAAAACTCAACCATCTAGATATTCATTTATCATAAAGTTGGAGAGTTTTTAGCTTTTTATGGTTCATGAATGTCCCCTACACAGTGTGGAAGGCATCACCAGCACAATCACTCCCCAGGATGATGCTGCCACCACTCTGCTTGCATGGTAAAGTGTTGACAGCTTAACTCCACAAACTGACTTCTTGTCATTTTGGCCAGTTAGGGCCTTCCAAGCCTGTTTGTGAACATCCTACTAAAACGGTGTTGCTATTCTGATGATCTTTGGCCCTGCAGTGTTTTGATGATGGATTAAAACATTTTCTCTCATCCATCCATCCTCTCCTGCTTAGTCCTTGTCAGGGTCTTGGTGGGGCCAGGGCCTATCTCCGGCAGTCTATGGGGAAGAGGCCGGTACACCCTGGACAGGTTGCCAGTCTGTTACTGGGCACACAGAGACACATAACCATGCACACAAACAAAAAATGTAAAAAAAAAAAAAAAAGTAAAAACAACTCTCCACTGGACTTTGTTTTCCAAGTTTGAAGAAGTTTCGCTTCCCATCCAGGAAGCATTTTCAATTCAAAATGTCTGGAGTAGCATTTGAGGTCCAGGCATATAGCCCCCCAAAAAAGCCTTGTTATGACTTAGAAAACATTAGAAAAAATTGAAGCGGAAAAAATTGGTCCACCAGTCGTTGAGGTTGTTGTTGGTCTGCAATACCCGATACTGGCCCATGCCTCTGAAAAGGGAGTCGTTTGAGTAATTGTTGGTCTGGCCGACCAGGCGAGATGTTTTGGTTCCCTGCATGGTGATGAGGATTGAGATGATGGCGGGAAGGTATCAACTCTATTGCTGCTTGTAGATTTTTGAGAGTTGGAGACCTTTTGGAGAAATTTTGAACTGAAAAAGCTTCCTGGATGGGAAGCGAAACGTCTTTTTGACTATGACCTGGATGACTGAGAATGTTCCGAAGGATGCGCACAAACAAGAATACCCAAGGAGAATTTAGAGAAGCCAATTAAACGAACATTCCTGTTTTTAGACTGTGGGAGGATGCTGAAGTACCCAGAGAGAACCCATGCATGCACAGGGAGAACATGCAAACTACATGCAGAAAGACCCTGGGCCAGGAATCAAACCCAGAACCTTGCTTCAAGGCAGCAGTGCTACCCACTTTACCACCATACAGCCTCCAAAAATTTTTTTCTCAAATTATGTAAATCTAAATTCTTCTTCCCACGTCTTCAATGACATCCTTGGATTATAGTATTGTCTGTTCTAACCGGTGCTGCTTAAAACAGTGCTGTTTAGTTGCTATTAAAACACGGTCACTTTGAAATTGCATGTTTGAGCCTGCATGCATGACTTTTATTACAAGATTAATACTCTTAATCTTTCCCATTGAAATCTTGTTTTAAATTTAAATAAGTTGTATGATGTACAATTATTAAAGCCTGAGACAAGAAAAAAAAAAAAATAATAATTAAAAACCACATAGCAATATAGCATGATGAGCAAATGCAAACATATTACTGGTTCTGCAATTCTTCTCACTCTCCTCTTCTTCTCCGCAGGGTTGTGTGACACAAGTGTTACACTCCTACATAACCATCAGGCAAACCTCTTCCATTGAGTCTCCTTTCAGAGTAGAGACTACTTCCATGTCAAAATAAAGGTTCTTAATCGTGGGTTGCTTTTTGAAGCCCTGATCGACTAATTCTGTGGAAATTACAAGAAAGTCATGTAAGCATTTTATTTTATGATTTTTATATATATATATATATATATATATTTTTTATATGTATAATTTAAGCATTTGAATAGATTTTGAGGGAAAATCTTCATGACTCAAAAAAAGGAGGCATTAACAAGAATCCCCCCAGATTTAAAGTGAGAGACATTATAAGCAGATATACTGCTGAAATGTAGAGATCTTTACATATACTAAAATATATATATATATTTTTACCATTGCTTGGTATTAAATCAGATAAAACCTTTGACAAAATAAGGAATTTAATATGAATCTAAATTAAATTACATCTCATTACTTTAAATATAGAGGCTGACATAAACTAAAATCAATAAACCTTTAAACAGTTTGAGAAAGGCCAGAGCGAGATGATGTCCTCTGAGAAATTTTGATTGTAACGATATAACCGTTCATCAACATACAGAATTTCTGTATATTGATCTATATATTAAAGTTCTGTCATAAGAACTTTAATATATATGGAAAACAAAAAACTCAGTATTCCAATTGATTTTTTTTTATGTTTAGTTTTATGATCAGGGCAGGACTTATTCAGTTTTAACCTGTCTGTTCATTTTTATCTTAAGGTCTTTCTGATCCAAAAGCTGACATTAAAAACATTTATCTTGTACAGAGACACAGATGCAGAAAGCTTTAATCTGATTAAACTAACATTTAAATGTTTGACAACAATGACAATAAAATGAGGAATAATGAACACTTATTGGTTTACAGGCTATCCTCGTTTGCACAAACGTCCCCCATTTGGGGTTTTGGTTAGGTAACAAAAACGACACAATACCAAAATCTGAAAACAGATATAGAACAAAAGAAAACTTTCAGAATGATC